TGAGGTGGAAGGATTATCTTGGCAAAGGAAAAGTGCTCACTAACACAGATTGGTGAACAATATTTGAGAGAAATAGGCCTTTTGTGTACATAGTGAAAGTCTTATATCTTTGAGTTCAGCTCATGATGAATGGGGGCAAAAACAAAAGTGTTGCATTTATAATTTTGTTCAGTGTATGTTTGATAGAAGTCTCATTACTGACAAAATGCTGCTCTCACAGACACATTTAAGTGTGTATTTTAGTGATTAACTTCCTTGTCTCTGTTTCCTATCCAATCATCTTTCTGTCCTCACCTCCTACTCAGTCCACTGTGGCAGCATAAGGCAGACAGCCACCATCTTGTCTATGAACAGAGACTGCCTGCGGACAGGGGACAAGGCTTCAGTCCACTTCCGCTTCATCAAAACCCCCGAGTACCTACACTGCGACCAGAGGCTGGTGTTCAGGGAGGGACGCACCAAGGCGGTGGGGACCATCACTAAGGTAAAACAGCCTTCTGGAAGATCAAGACCTTGTGTGGCTGACAGGATGATTGGTGCAGGCACAGTGCTGACCAAATCAAACTTCAAAGATATGTATGCTCCCCTTACAATGACGTGCTTGTGTCTAGAGGCCTAATTAATTGGACTAGTTTTCAGGACACTGTCTAATTTCGACCAAAGGAAATCTGTACTGTTGACCAACTCCCACAGGGTAAGAGCAGAAAATACAGCAAAGGCTCCTATCCCAAGATAACTCATTACATTTACCAAGAATTTCAATTCGTACAGACTACTATACCCTCAAGTAATTTTCTGCCATTTATGAATAGGTAAAAGACAAAAGAAAAGCAATATTTCCTTGTGTAAGACAAAGTTGGTTGAAATTACTAATAAGTAGTCATTATAGGAAAATATTTTATTAAAGATTGAGGATATATTGACAGAAATGCAATATAATATCTATAACTTTGTTTTCAGTGGTGTATAAAGACCTTACATAATCAACCATTATGTTTTTATTACCTTAGAATGACCCATATCTACCTACATACACCGCAGGTCCCCTTAAATGGACGTCGCCATGTTTGTACAGTAGCCCAAATGGACAAAAAGCTCTTAAGCCGCTCGTACAAAGAAGAATTAGAACAAGTAACGTCAGTTACATTTACACTTTAAATTTATTCATTTTTATCCAAAGCAACTAACATTTGAGGAACAACATACAATCATCAACAGAGCATCAAATACAGCACGAGATCTACAACTGACAACACATATTAATAAAAGCAGCGATAAATACTAGTAAGCGCTAATGGCACATATCCCATTAATGGGGTAAATACCTAGGGAAAGAAGTTAGAGTTAACAAAGTGCAATCAATCCAAGATAATTGTAGGGGATAGAAGAAGAGCACAGGAAGTGCATGTTAGAGGTGTTATAAGAGGAAGTGTTCTCAGGAGAGATGAGTTTTCAAGAGCTTCTTGAAGTTAGAGAGGGACGCCCCTGCTCTGATGGCATGTGGTAGCTCGTTCCACCATCGTGGTGTCACAGATGTGAATACCCGGGACTGGGATTGCTATGTGTGAAGGGATGGCAGAGCCAGGTGGTGTTCGTTGGAGGAGCGTAGTGGCCGAGAAGGAACGTAAACTTGTATTATGGAGTTTAAATAGATGGATGCAGACCCAGTAGTCACTCTGTATGCAAGCATTAGTGACTTGAATCTGATTCTGGAGGCCACGGGTAGTCATTGGAGGTCACTGAGTAATGGAGTGACATGAGTCCTTTTGGGCTGATCAAAAACCAGACTTGCTGCTGCGTTCTGAACCATTTATAGGGGTTTCACCACACAAGCTGGAAGACCTGCTTGGAGGGCATTGAAATAGTCGAGGCGAGAGGCAACCATGGCCTGTACCAGAAGCTGGGTGGCGTACTGAGTGAGGTAGGGCCTGATTTTTCTGATGTTGTATAGAGCAAAGCAGCACGACCGAGAGACAGCAGCAACATGCTCTGAAAAGGCCATCTGGTCATCATCAAGTTTCTCACCACCCTGGTTGGAGTGGTGATTGAGGAGCCAATTTGTAGTTTGATGTTATGGTGGATAGATTGCTTGGGTGGAATGACCAAGAGTTCAGTCTTGGAGAGGTTTAGTTGAAGGTGGCAAGCCTTCATCCATGCAGACATATTGTCGACTGGGTTATTAGAAGAAAAGAAGAGAAATTTGGACAAATGGAGGCCCACTTGTATTATTTAGCACCAGAGCCAACAGAGCATGTCAGCCACCGTAGATTCTCCTGTGCGCTTGGAAAGGGAAGGTTGAGCGGTGCGTTCATGTTGTGTCAAAATAATCAGAATGTTTGTTTTTCCTCCTTAAACCTTTATTGCAAAAAGACAAAGTGTACATGGGACATAAAGAAGTATACAGAACTTTGAATAATGCAAAATCACATATTGCATATACATATTTTGCAAATATGTAATTTATAAAATAAGTTAGTTTGCTGTCCATGTAGAGTGAACTAGATGTCTGTGTGTTGTTTATACGCTCTGATAATGCTAATCCAACACATCTTTGTAGTATCGTCCATGTTGATTCCACATTCCAACTTAAGAGCACTTGAACACACTGAAGTCAGAATAACGACTTCACAACTTGGTAAAATGGAACCAATCGAGGAACATGTGATGGCACCATGAGCCACTGGTTGCAGTTTGCAACCCTCACCATTAGATGCCACTAAAACTTACACACTGAACCTTTAAGGGCAAGCCTGGGTAAAATTATACCTTCTTCCCTGTGAAACATATCCTTTCCACAAGGCGTCAACCAGAAATGTAGAATTTGTTGTTGTAATGCATTTTTACCTATCGTTTCTTGTTGAGACTCAATATCGACTTGCATTCTTTTCAGCTGTTGCAGTCCACCAATAATTTGCCCTCAAATTCCAAACCTCCACAAATCAAAATGCAGTCTACAAAGAAGGCACCGCTCCGAAAAGAGGACAGCACAACGGCAGCCAGTGACGATGTAGCAACGATAGCACAGCCAGCAGGCACGAACACGACTCAACCGGTGAGACAATCTTCTTGTTTCTATGGATTTCCTGCCTCTTACTGTGTACTTGCCCCAACATTGCTGCTCTTTTCTACCATGTTAACTGCTATGTCCTCCCTTTTGTCTCTTTTCCTGCCATCTCTTATCCACCACACAATACACATCCTGCTTTGATTTTGTCATATTTCACCCTAAACTTGAACTTTGTCATGCCACCATCACTCCTTTACACACACTCCCTCTTGTCTGCTTGCGTGGCTGGCTGCCTGCCTAAGGGAGAGGGAGACGAAGACCCTCAGATAAAGGAGGGCAACAAAGAGAACAAGGTAAAATGGGTCAATTTTAAATGAACAAGAACAGTGGAGAACCCGAGTAGAGGAGCTTGTGTTTTACCAGGTCGGATGGTTGAGTTCATAGCCTGGAGATTCTTGTTTCATGATACATTTTGAGTGAATAAGGTTTTCATGTTCTTTTTACATGTTGCCTAATATTACCGCTTGCAGTATTAAATACTTCAAATGCACATACATAAGTTTGGAGGAGCCTTGACAAGCGGTTTTCTTCTCTCTCCCTTACAGCCAAAGTCTGGAGGAGGTGGGAGGAGAAGGGGTGGCCAGAGGCACAAAGGAAAAGGCCAGAGTAGCAGCACCAACCCCACAGCAGCTCCCACATCAGGAATAGGAGGCTGCTGAACTGCTCTCTCATCCCCTGTAAACCTCCACCTCTGCCATCACTCCACCAAGTGTCTTCATTCCACAAACCATTATGGATACAGATGTTTGGAGGAAGACACTCTCTTCTCACTCCTTGCCTTTTTACACTAAGTCCTATAGTTTTTATTAAAAAAAAAAATAAAAAGGGAACACAAAGGGGCATGTCCCGAACCAAAAAGGCATACACCCTTAATGCATTTTAATGTCAGCTGCCTTTTTACTGTTTTGAATGGTTTGGGTGATGGAACGCAGTATGGTTTTTGAGGTTAGCCTCACTCAGGATGATGATTTATTTACTTTTATCCATATTTTGTTTATCTGTGAAATCTACAATTGAGTCTTTTGGCTCAATGTCAGTGGCAGACAGGGAGGAAAAACCCAAACCAAGGGTCCACTACCAAAATGAGCAGCTATAAATGAAAGTCCCCCATGCATTCCCTATGTATTTGCAATGAAAAACAGTTCATACTATTTATATACTGCATTATGTAAATTAGCTGTTAGTTGTGTTCTGATTGGAAAGAGATGCCATTGTACAAAATGTATGCAAATCATAAATGAATGTAGCCGAGGGCACATAGCGATTTCAAATTCTAGATATATGGAAAATATAAGCTGTTAGATTTTATAATTGTCTTATTTATTTGGCATACATGCAGAACCTTCACTCCTGGATGGTCTTTGATCGGTCAACCCGCTCTCACTTGCACTCTTAGATTCAGTAGTATCGATCACGCTTCCACTGTCAGACAGTTAGCCATCTTACAAACCTTATACCAATAATGTTAGTACAAACAAATACAGCACATCATCTCGTCACTCATGATTATAAGACATGCAGTACTTGCAGTGCTATTTGTAACTCCAGTACCCCATGCGTTATGGCCTGTTGCTGTTAACATGTGACATTTTAAAAACACACTTTGCTGCAAAGAAACACCCGACCATTAATAAACAGGCTTTACTGAACTTTTCAACAGTGCTTTTTTTCCCCTATATGTGCATTTTTCTCAGATTTCCTCATTTGCTGTTAAATATTTTAATACTGTGGAATTTATTCAGTTGTGTAAAAGATTTTTACTTTGAATAACTAAACAGGAGAAGGTACGGGTTCTCAGGATGCTTATTGTGTTTCTTTTGTCAATATCCTTCAAGTCATTTAAGCCAAGGAGTGTTGGTGTAGTCTTATCAGTTCACGTTACAGGTGGAAAGTGGTAACTATTGGCTGGATTGTCTTTGCGTGGACACCAGGCAACAGATTATTCTTCTGTATTTCGATTTGCAAATTTATGACGATCAATATAATGTGATTTCCACGGGCTACAATCATGTAAAACCAGATGCTGAGTTGACAGGTTTTTTTCTGTACATGGGAATGTTACAGTTAACAATGTAAGTACAAAACATTCTCAACTGATATTACACAACAATTTCAAGCTTAATGCCTTCAAGATCTAATAGCTTTGCGGGAATAAAAACCAATACAACAAAATCTTTGCTATCAGCAAAGTATCCAAAAACTAACCTGCTAAAAATGTAACATGCGAAGTCATCTGCACCACAAAAATAGTGATTGTTTTGTCAAACTATGAACCATAAAGTCCCCAATTATAGGCTGCCATTATCTGGAATTGTCCACCGTTTTAACAGAATAAATAAAATAGACAATCCCATTTTCTAATGTATGTGCAGCTTGTATTCCAAACTAAAGCTCTGTTTAACTAAGAATGATAAAGTCCTTTGCTGAATTGCTTTAACTTGCAAGGGCACATCTAGTCACAAGCAACAGATGTTTTTATATACAAAAAACATTACAAATTATATGTAACATTTATTTACTGTAGATTTGTAACACAAAAACTTATCTGCTTCATTTACATTATGTCATAAGTGCAGACTGATCACTACCACTGTTAAGGTAGCACACATATACCCACAGTTTTATATTACAATTTGAAAAGGCTTTACTTGGCATGTGCAACATTAGTATTTAATGGAATATTCTGTGGAATTCAGGATATTGAGGTAAGTAGCATTCCTCTCAAAAATAATTTGTAACTTCACAGCTCCATCTTCAGCAATGTTCCGTTTTGGTCTTAATATTTGGGAATTTACAGGGTAAGTGGAATTTAGGACCATGAGTGTTTGTTGTGGTGATGACCTCCTGCGCGCGCGCACACACACACACACACACACACACACACACACACACAGCATTAGAATGGACTCTACGTCTCACTCCTGCACAACAAAGTACGCTCAGTTAGCAATGAAATGGTGAATGGTCAGAGCAGTGAGTACTGAAGAAATCCTGTTAGGACACATTGAGTGCTCCTTTCCCATAGGTAAAGACTATTCTGTACTACAGGAGAATTTTGCTTGTATATATAGTTTTCACCATGTAGTGCAACCCCCTACACTGGGCCTGGATTCAAATAAAGTATGCACCTTAATGCATACATGCTTCAGCACATCCGTGCTGATCGACCTTTATGATGACATGAGAGTCTCAAGAGTAATTATTAGGGTGCCCCCATTGTCCAATGCTGAAACATTGGTCTTTAAAGTAGTCACTTAACTGTAGCAGACAACTGTATAATTTATGCTTGAGAGTCCGTGAGGAACAGGTGAAGAGACATCCAATATACACAGAGACGCAGGACAGGGTAGGTTTCAGCCGTTTCTCGCTGTGCATTTAGCCATCAATGTCCCAGCTGAAGAGGTGATGTTTCACCAACATATCCTGCACGCCCTCTTTCAGCGGTCTCTGATCCTTCTCCTGGAAAAGAAGGGGAAGGTATAAAGCTTTTACCCTAAAGAACAAAGTACACAAACACCAGAGACAGCTGTTCCACTGGATGAGACTTCTGATCAAACACCAATCGGCACCAACTTGCTGACATCACCTCTGACCAGACTTAAGTCTGTTATTTACAATTTGAACATACAGACAGCAATGGGTTCTTTGCCATAGGGTAACTACTGACACCTCTGCATTTACTGAAGAACTGATAAATGGTTATTAACAATTGTAACTAAAGACTCAAACGCAGCGAAAAAGAACTGAATGTGCATAAGCAACTTGAAGCAAGGTGATGCCAGGACATAATTTAATCCTGTCAAAATGTCTACCTTTTCAAAAGATCAAATAAAAAAAAAAAAGAAAGGTATGCAAGTTGTGAGTAGATTTGTGTGACAGGGTAATAACTTAAATCAGCAGATTAACTAGTAATTAATGACTACTGAAGCATCTACAGTCTCATATGCGACATGTTACCTAGAGGTCCCAACTAAAGAGGTGATGCTGAACCAGCACATCCATAACTTCTGCTTTCAGACTAGCGGATTTCTGAAACAGCATAAAGTCATATCAAGTTTTTTCTTCCCTGAATATATTGTCACTGAATAGTAAGACTTGCTTAGTACTGCTCTATATGGGGATGCAGTGGTAAAGTCTTTGTCTCACCTCTTTCTTGTCAGGGAGCTCACAATCTTGGGAGAGGCTGAAGGCAAACTTTGATAAGACCCTGAGGAGACAACAACAGACTCATTATTATTTGTTTTAGTCATCAGATTGTGTGTGTCTATTGATACACAACTTCCCTTTTTAGTTAATTTTTGTTCTTAAAGCCGCTTTTTAGATGTTCACTGATATTTTCAAACTACTGGATTATGTGAGGTAAATATGGAAGAATGTGGGCAGACATGATACAGTACACTTATTATTTGCCAGCCAACTTCAGGAATTCAGTAGTGAGTTTGTAAGCAGCTTATCCTGGTTAACCATTCCTGATTTGTTTGCTTGAAGTTTCCACAGTCAACCACTTTGAATGCTCCAGCTGAGACTTTAATGCTCTTTAAATCTGAGATAGACTCAAGACAGGCTGTAGTGTTAATGTAAAGTGTTTCTCACCTGAGCTCGCACTTGATCTGTACCCATCCAGGACTGCGAAGGAATGACCATGGATGATACCATTTTTCTACGGCAGCCATACTGGAGCACAACACCTCCAACCATAGGTGCAGCACCTGCTCACTGGTGGGGTACACACATGTTAAGATACCATGTACAGGCAGACTACTGTGTTGATTTAAATTCTGTGTGTTCGTCTTGAAAACATACTTGAGGCCGACGCAGACAAGAGACCTAAACTTGACGTCCATCTGAGCATGTGCAGAGTCGTGGCTCATGTTCACTGACTGCACTGCCTGGGAAGAGCAGATAGAGGGCGCTCATGCACTTCCTACAAACATTCATTCCTTAAAGCTGAATTTACAGATTTGGGTAGGTCTCACACTACTTTCAAGAAACACCCTTATTGTTGGAAGCAGGGACGCTTCCAGGAGTTATTCAGAAGATGTAATTCTCCAAAATTTGCAAGTTTCAATGTCCATTAAAATAACAGAAAATATTTTACTTCCTCTAGCTGTACATTGAGCTTAATAAAATAAACTTAAGTTTGTTGTTTGTATTTTTGCACAAACATACACACAATGCTTACTCACTCTATATAGCAGCTCCTCTGGTGTTAGTACTTTCCCATCTTCATCTAACCTGGAAAATACCGGAAAAGAATGAGTTGTTACCTTAAAATATTGGCCTACACATTGAAATTGGATTTCTCATTCCTCATCCAAAATACATACAACACTTTTCATAACATTTAGGTTCGTACTGAGACATTTTATTTGTTTCCCATTCCAAAGTTTTTTTTAAACCAGGTCTGTTACTATCCTAGTCTCTTGACACCGGTATTAGAAAGATAATGCAAATGAACAGCAAGTGTATCCAGGTCCACAGTTTGGATGATCTAGTCCTCAAAACATGTGCATGTGAATTTTTATGTATTTTCGCCTTAACAGATTATAACCCCCACACCAATGTTAAATGTTCATGTGGACAGAGCATTTTACAGAAGAAATGAAACCACAAGGACAGTTTTACCTGTAGGTTTTACACAGCACCAGTCTGGAGTAGACTGAGTTAAAGTCCCTCTCTACCTCTCTACTGGCCGCCTGTGAGAAAACCAGAAGCCAAAGAATGATCAAGTCCCATGGTGACTTTGATAAAACACTGTTGTGTAATGCAAATGGCAATATGGAGCCATTTGGACTTAAAAAGCTCTCCTACCTCTTCTATGAATAGCCAAGGGTGACAAGGCCCTCCCAGTATAGACGGTTTCTTGAGACCGTGCTGAAAGATGGCCTTTAGGGCTGGACACAGTGTTCCCCTGGCCAGGTCTGTCACTGCCTCTGTCACAGAGTCATCACCTGCTAATGAATACTGGAGACAGACAAATAACCGATCACTGTTTAGGACACTGAATTAATAAAATCAGGGCACTGGGACGGGAATGTGAGGAAACAAAGATGAAAACAAATATCACACACATTGGACATTTTAAAGAACACTTTCTGGGAAAATCAAAGTCAGCATTGAAACACTTAAACCTTATTAAGCTGATAGTTTACTGCTTCCGTACCTCTTTGCTTCTTTCATCGAGGATCTCCACAAACTTTGCCGGAAACCAACCTGTTACAAAGAGCACAGAAAAATGATGTCAAACAACCTGTAGGACAGATTAAAGGAAACCAATTATCTAGATGTAACATTGAGTATTGATACATAAGAAAAGTATGCACCTCTAAGGCCATTGAGCTCTCCAACCCAACAGTGTTCATCCTTCTGTGAGACAATCTGAAAAAGATTAAAAAAAAAAATAAAAAATGGATAAGAATCAGAGGTAAGAGGGATCAATGAGGGAAACGTCAAGAAGCAGTGTTTTGTCTGTTTGTAAGTCATGACTCACAGTGATGATGTCATTCTTCCTGAAGCCCAGTTCGTCGTCATCATGTCGCTCAAAGTCCAGCAAAGCCTTTGCCCGTCTCCGTCTGGTGCGAGAGACCACAAGAAAGTTTTCATGATCTCGCTGGTGGCTCTCCATGGAGTAGTCAGGAGTCAGGTCCTAGAGAGGCAAGATGGGAGAAGTCAGGCCAAAATGAATGGAGGCATCTATACTGAATGCTGTGATTTGATGTTAAAATATGACTCCTTTAACAGGACGACAACAACAGGACATAAACCACACTGTTCCTGCGGTGTGTGAACTCACAGTGCTAGAGTGACGTGGATCCAGACAGTGGAAGTGCTCTGCAGTGCGGGTTATGGCCTCTCGCAGGGCTGCCACCAGCTCGGTCTGCTTAATGTTCTTGGATTTCAGGGCCTCTGCCTCATCCTCCCCGAACAGCAGGGAGCTCAGTGTGGACTTCCTGCGCAGTGACTGCCTCCTCACCACCTGAAAAAAATGGATAAAATTATTAATTTTTATTAAAACAGTTGTGATCTGTCTGAACCACATGTGACAGCACATGTAAAACACAAACTTCAAATTGCCTGTATAGTCCAATTGATATTTCAGCACACTAACTTCACAAAGACAACAACGACCTACCTTGTTGAGATTGGTGTTGAGAGTGGTGTTTCCATTGCTGAGCTGCGCCTGTTCATTTAGGATGTAGGCTAGGTGTTTGTGTCGGTGGGCTTCCAATGTTTCCTGGGATAGCGTCCCTGCTAGCCTCATAGCCTCTCCGAGAACCGCGGGCCCATCTCTCAGCTGGCTTGGCAAGTCTGACAGAGTATTAAAAATGGACGCAGAGTTCTCTGATGATATGAGCTCCTCCTCCTGGGGTCAGGGAATAAATTTTGTTAATGTTAATACACAACAGCTTTTGTCAATAGTAAGAGTAGCCAATCAGTCTTCTTCTGTCTAAGAAAATCTCTCACACACACACACAGTGGTGGAGTGGAAATACCTTGACTTTGAGCATGCCCAGTGTGACCTGAAAGAGCACCAATGAGCCCTGGTAGAAGAGCAGGTCCCAGATCCTAAGGAGCAGACGAATGTCCACCACACTCGCAAATGATGTCAGGAACCAATGCAGTGTGATCAGCGACAACTCTGGAAGTATAAGAAGTGTTTACTAACTCATCATACTCATTCAAAACCAATTGATTCAGAGGATGTAATTCTCCAACAAAATTAGCAACTTTCATCTAATAATTCTCATATTTTTGCCCATGTTGCCTCTGACCCCATGCACCACACTCTCACCATCTTTCCCAATACTCATCCTTACCTATGTCATGCTCCTGCAGAAGGCGGTCGAGGGCTGGCAGGTACTGAACAATGAGCTGGCGGAGAACCCTCTGGTCCGTCTGGACGCCCAGCAAAGTGGAGGAGAAGTAGGAAGGAGGAAGGAGGTCTTCGATCAGGGCACACATCATCCATAGCGCATCCTCCTCCTCAAGAAAGAGCAGCAGACAGGATACCACCTGGAGGGGGGAGAACAAGAAATAGGTGTGGGAAGACAATGAATTAAGGAACAGTGTAGATGATAAAAGGTAAGAAGAAGGAAGACAAGAGCAAAATGCAAGGATGATGTAAATGTGATGTAGGTGCAACTAACAGTGGGTGTGCATTTATACGAGTCAGCTGGCTGGTGTAATCTACTTGTTTGTGGTGACAGGTTCTGTGTGTGTGTGTTCTCACCATGCCAGTGCCCTGACAGTACCCAATGTCTGGGTAGAGCCAGGCCAGGCCCCTGAGGACCCGTCTCAGCCTCGGCACTCCGACGCTGGTCAGACTGCTGAAACACGCATTGGTTGGCATAGTCCGTAACAGGTCCTTCTCTATCTGAGGGACAGAGGTGAACAAAAAAGAAGCACATCGTGATGACAATGAACAGCGGGAGAGGTTGTTATTTAAGATCTACTTGAGCATTTGCATTTCTATTAATTTAGACTTTATAGCATAAATTTTATAGAATCATGGCAATGCTTGATCCATCACCTACCTCATCTCTCCATCTACCTGTGTCCTATGTGTGCAATTAAAAACATATTTAATAGAAGCAGACTCCACTTTTGAAATAATTCATACATAAAACACCTTTTGAAGGTTTTGTTTTTCGTTTTTCAAGTTGTACCACCCACTTCACCACCTTCTGTCAAAACAATCTTAATCTATACCTTAATTCATACTAAACCTGACTACATAGTTGACTGCACTATCGCTCTTTACATTTGTGTTTTTCCCTTCTTTGATTCCAATTAAGAGGTTAATTCCAATTATATATTAATTAATTATTGATACATGTTCTCAAGAAGTACTATGCCTTGTAGGATAACTGCGACGGGATTGTGTTTGTTTACATGTAGAGTAGCTAGGGATTTTACCTGTTTAGCTGTGGAGGTGTCATCATTGGAACTGTTCTTAATGATTTCTCTGTAAGAGATCTCAGAGGTCCTCTTCTTCTGCAGTGCTCCAGAGAGACGCATCCATAGCTAACACACAAAACATCTTTAAAGTGCTGAAGCTTGTTTTGTGTATTTGGAGATAACTAATAAATATAAATACTCTAAGGCAACTGTAGCATTCTAGTATTTTATTTTTGTTAACATCAAAATTTATGCTCATGCTGCCCAAGTCTACTTACCTGTGGCCTCATGCTGTGAGGTATGCCACCCAACACCAGGGCACGTAGACGGTCAGAGCGCGCAAGGACGGGATCAATGAGCTCCCAGGTCAGGTCACCGACCGTGTGGTTGTGGGTGAACTCCAGGTGGGCTTGCCAACGTAATCTCTGCTGGGGGTCTTCACGCTGGGGTGAGCCTTCACTGCCCAGCCAGGACCTGGACTTCCCACCGTCTGAATGAGGAGAGTCTTTTTTGTAATCATAATATCAACATAGGCACCTCTTGAGGTAACTGGAATGTTGGAAAATGAGCACAAGTACAATAGCATGTAACAAAACAAAGAACGCATGAGGAAATAAAGTCAGGAGGCAGAGTTTCTGGATAAGAATCAAGTGGTTAAATAATAAAGCCAAAAATAGAACTCCCTTCATGGGAGACAGACACTGTTCTCCCAGCAGTTGGTGGTTTGCTATGTGCATGTTAACTATTAAGCATAAAATAACAGCCAACATCAAGTCTATCAACAGTCAGGTGAATGCAGACAATATACTGCTGTCAGGCAAAATAATTGATAATTTAACCACATGGACCCTGGCACCTATTTCCAGGGAAAACGCCTAAAATAACTCAGTAATATCTCCTCAACCATTAGGCCTAGATGCACACTGGTCTCATTTGAAAGGTCAGAAGCTAAGGAATATAAATCCATTGTACATTAACATTTATTTTACCATTACAGACTACATGGAGATAAAAAAAAAAAGAAGCTATATTTTAATGCAATAAATCATCAAAACCATCCTAAGGTAGATTATAATGCACCTGAATATCTTCTAATACACCTGGAATACAACTGTAACTGTAAATTTGATGAAAAGAAACTGATATGCAACAGTTATTACACAATCTTTCAAAAATATACCAGGCAAATGTCCGTGTTTTGGCATATTTACTGTTTATATATACTTTTATTGGGAGTCATCTTCAAAACATTACTTCTCTCCATACAACCACGTTCCAAATAACAAAGTTAATGTTTATGACCAAAAGCACTCCCATGCTTTACAGGCCACAGCTTGAGAACAGAACATCCTACCAATTAATCCCAATGAACCCATCCTAACAATTAAGCAACTTTCTAAACCACTGCAAGTGGGCTCTTTCTCTTCATATTGAAGAGACAAATCGATTGACATCTTGCATGTCTGTAGCTCCTACAGGTCGCCAGCAGAGGCCGATTAAGACCCCCTCCGCCAAAGCAAACTCTTCTTCTCTACTTCAATCTGACTACAGAAACAAAACTTATGGCCAAGCCGACCTCACCAAGATGGCGGCCCCTGTATCAAAGCTACTTTCTAAACCACTACACTAGAACAGGTGTGAAGAAAGAAGAAATGGGCGTGTCAGTGAACACATTTACCATCAGTGTCCACTCTGAAGCCAAACTCATCATATTGGAGTTCATGTTGTTCTGAGCAGTCTTTCTGTAGAGACAAACAAATAACATGCATTTGAGCATTTTAAACTTCAGTGAACGCATTTGCCTCTGGTTTTTAGTTGCTCTCAATGTCCTTACACAGAAATAGAGATACAGCTAAGAACAAAGCAGAACAAAGGTAGACAAACATTTTTATATTCTGTCACGCTATGCAGATGCGTTATAGCTTATAATATTTTCTGCTGTTCTGTTATTTAATTAAGCACCCCCCCCCCCATTCTTTGATTTGGTCTTCAAAGCAAAATAAGAATTTGTGAAGGATTGCACATAAACATAAGAAGTCACATCCTCACTTGATGGTACTTGGCCAAAATGTCCTGAGGCCACATGCTTGGGGTGAGAGCAGAGAATGGCCCACCAGGAGCTGGTGTGTAGGTACCTAAAAACAGAGACAGATTCATACATTAGTAAAACTAGTATTTAAAACAGAAAATATGAGGGAAGTTTGAGCAGGTTGAAGCCACTTAAGTTGAAAACCAAATTCATACAAATCTTTACCCGACATTTTGTTGATAGCGGAGTGAATGGCTTCTATCTGAAAAAACAGCAGTCACTCTGGAGAAAGGAGGTCAGCAGACAGTGCCCACTCTGTAAAAAAATTAAAAAAAACACAGAGGAAGAGAAAATGTTGGTTGTTCAATTCTAGGATCGTCCTAAAAAGTAAGAGGAAGTGCCCTGGAGAAAGACAATGTTGTGGTGAATGTGAGACCTACTGTAGCACAGCTCACTGAATAAAAGGTTGTTTTTAACTGCAATCAAATTACCACATCTGGTTAATGAGAATCAAGACTGTGGCAATCCATCCATGGCAGAGATCCACATTATATGCAGTGTTTGAAGTCCTGACTCAGTCCATCATTATGTGCCTTTACTTTTTTACTGATTTCAAGTTATTACAGTGAATCATCCCTAAACCTGGCACGTTGCCATATATACCATTTATGTTTTTTTTTTTAAATATGCAATGAATCTGCTCCAACCTCAAGTCCAACAATTCCGTAACAACGCAACGTTCCTTCTTCAACCATTACCAAAAAGAGAGATACAGAAGTTCAACACGATTACTGTAAGTGAGAGAGGAAGAGAAAGAAGGACATGCTGGTGGCTCTTCTCATTGTTTGACTGCTGTACTTACCTGAGGCTAACTACTTCACTTAACTTTGGTTGAGTTTGTGTACAGTCTGACCTGTTTGACAGTACACGTCCTGGGGCAAATTTAACAAACTTTCTGTGAGAATACTATTTCATCACACAGAGTCTACTCTCCATATACCCCCAATTTAGTGAACAGCTTTTTCTTTATGGATTTCATCTCCTCTATTTTGTTGATATTGTTCTAAAACATAGAGGCCCTGCCAACAACTTATATTGTACACTAAACCTACGAGGACAATATAGGTGGCCAACAGAGACATTTTGTTCTACTGGCTAGATTATAATCAAATAATCTTGAACACAGATCGTTTTATTTGCATTTATTTTGCATGTTTATTTATTTTTGTATCTTGCACTGTATTTGATAGCATGCTTCTGTTAGTATGTTTTATGTTATGCATCCGTCACGTCTCCTTTAAAAACTATTTTTACTTCAAGCCAAAGGAAAAGCCCAAAAGAAAAATGTCTTGGGCTGTGGTTATGGTCGTTTACTTTCTTCTGTCAGTATTCCTGCATACAAAAGTTCAGCAGGTATGGCACCTATAGAGTCTTTCAACACATTAATAAAATGTAACAAAACAAACAAACAAAAAAAAAATTACATTTGTCTAGGTTTATTCATTCACGCAATTTCAGCTCAGCTTATTGGCCTACAGGCTATTATAAACTTGATGACCATTTTATTTGATACAATTCTAGTAAACAACATGTGCTGCAGATAAACACATTAAATCTGGAAATCAAAGCCAACAAAATGCAGATCCAAAATACCCACAACAAATGTACTGCTGCCCAAATGTGTTTTGTGCACACAGAATCATCCTGATTATTGGATAGCCACTACCAGTTATTTGTGTAACAGCCAAAGTTTCTACATTCCACTATTAAGTCACTGAGTAGGGGGAGGCTTGATATCTTGCTTTAACATTCATATGAATTCGAGTATACTGAAAGGGGGACACTATTTGGAATGTAGACACTGACAAAAAAAAACAAACAAACACACGCACAAAAACATACACAGGCAGACACAACAGTACAACAATCATAACCTGCAAAAGAGGCTCACCAGCATGCAAACACTGTGCCAAAATGATTCATTCCAGCAGCAGGCTTGCTGCATCTGAAGAGGGATTTAGGACTTAAGAGAGATGAGAAATCAATTTGAGGTTTGGAGGATGGCCAAGTACTTTGAGGCTAGCTCTGTGTGTAGCTCAGGGGGAGTACTGGGATTTTGGAGCTGCTCCCTTACAAGAACACTGACAGTTTAATCACCTGCCAAGAGAACCACCATTGAACTGATCCAGCAAACTGTTGCACATATTGATAAAAAAAAATTGCAAAGATTCTACTGCAGAACGAAGCAAAAGTTAGAACTGAAACGATTAGGCTAGTTAATTTGTCAAACAACACATAATCAGCAACTATTCTGTTAGTCAGTTGATTGTTACAAGCAAACTGAAGATATCGCCATGGGCTCTGAGACATGTGACTGTCATATTCCAGTATTAGAATTAGGCTTAGAAGTCCCGTGTCTGTTAGGCTCCAAGCAAGAAGCGTCAAAATATGCGTATGTTTCCACACATATGCATATAAATAACCTCCCCCATCATGGCCTATGTAATTTTACATGACAATATCAATATTGTGATAAAGTCTAGACAATCAACTGATAGTCTTATTGTATATAAAAATAAATAAACACCACACATGACTGTCTGTACATTATACAATCATAAAAATATTGCAATAAAGCACTCTTGCTCATTGATTTAGTACATTTCCCAAAACTGCCAAATACAATCAGGGATGCTAAAGGGAGAGCAGTGAAGGTTATATACTGCCAAATCTGACATGTTTCAAATTTGTATCATCTCACATATTTTCCAACCCTAATACAGATTAGGCACCCAAATTATACAGGGTAGCCTACACAATATAGATTGTGCAATAAAGCAAAAACTGATTATAGATGAAAGAGCGATGTTTGGTGTGACATTGAAAACTTGTGCAGGGAAAATTCAACAACTGTCAGGCACTGAAGGGGGTACAGCAAAATCCTATCTACTGGGGAAAACCTATTGGGAAACGTAACTCCATTCATTACAATTACCACTGTCAAAAGCACATTCTCTGGTATTTTAATCTTGTTACAGTTATGTACTCCCTTGGATGAAACTCCCAGAAACAGCATGAAAAAACTAAAATCCCTTTTGGTTACTTAAAAAAAAAAAAAAAGGGAGGTTTTTCCATCTTACTCTGAACACAAGATTTTTTTTCCATTATTGAGGTGCGGCTGTGCTCACCGGTGTTTGCACACACTGGTCAACACCCTGCTGCAAGTAAAGTAAAGAGTAACATCCTGCTTTACAAGCAAGTGTGTGTGTGTGTGTGTGTGTGTGTGTGTGTGTGTGTGTGTGTGTGTGTGTCCCTGTCGGGTTGCCCTACTGGCACCCCCACTCCCCTTCTTAAACACCTCCTCCTGTTGTCCCTCACAGTAACCACAACAATGTTGACTCATTTTTCCCTCCCGTGAATACGCCCACCTACACAGCCATCTATGTTAGAGAATTACTGCCTCATGCCCCGCCAAGGTTTTTTTTCTTCTCCTTTGGCTGAATAATGAGACAGTCCTCCATCCTCTTGACATACTCCCATCTTTCCATCTCTCTCTTTGACAGGCACACTCACATCTATCCATTCACAGTGCCAGTTACACACAGAGGGATGTGCCATAGTAGTGAACATGAATGTCACTTCCTCAAGAGCAGGGAAATAAGGTAACAAAAATATATTGGAAACCCCTTCAAATCCAATGCTTTCCAGGGAGTTTAAAAGGTAAAAACACAATTCTGTAGGGGAAAGGAACTTTATAACAACTTTTGACCATTCTAGTTTAAAGCCGAGCCATCCACAGAAGCAACGTTGTAATCTTAACAAGCCATTTATATTAGGCTACATATAGAAGCAAGTCACTCCCCTGGATTGGCAGTCGTGGTTAGAGAAAAACAAAGCAAAACAGTATGGTTTGCAGTAAGTTTTGATATATTCTGCAGCTTTAATCTGCTTTGGAGGTGTCACTGTTAAACCAGTCAGCTGACTGATGATAAGATGGTGTGCTGAAAAGCTAACGTTATGCACCTTTTTTTTTTTTTTTTTTTTTTATTAGACCCACACGTGATAAAGAAAAATATCACTTCAGGTGTTCTGCTTGCAAGTGTGAATATATTATGTCCTCACGATCCTTTAGAAAGCTTAATGTTCAGTAACGTTATTGGCAAAATTAACGTTACGTCAAACCCCATCTGACGTCAGGTGCAGTCAAAAGACAGACTGGAGAGCGAGGATTACATTTTCAATGGCTACATTTACATTTATTTACGGTTTTAACAAATGCTGCTTCGCAAAACGTGCAGCACGATACTAAGTTATGCCTACAAATTGATAAAACTCCTTACATCAGACAGCAATGCAATGTATTCACTCTGAGTTGTCAGCTGTTAGCCATAACGTTACATGCTACCTTTCGCTTTTAGCTAACGGTTACACACACCGGTGGGCAACAGCCTCCTCGCACTCCTTACCGTGACATTGTTCTACTGAAAGCACACAGTTTTGGTTTGTGGCGGACGTTTCTTCTGTTGTTGGAGACGGTAAGCCACCATATGCTATGCCGTCATTCGTCTCGTATTTGTGATTTCCCTGCGTTGTGCACCTGCTTTCGACGTGTAGCTCTGTTGTATCCTTACGCCCTTTATAGGATTTTCCCGTTCCCTCCCGAGAAGTAGTTCTAGATCCCGGAACTACGCTTGTCACTGAAAATATCCTTCCGCAAGGGAATCGATGACGTAGGAATACGACGCTGTTTTTTTTGTTGTTTTTTTTTTGTTCCATTCATTCATTAGTTTCCTCCTCGTCCTTTCCCTTATTGATTCCAGCGCAAAAATCAGCAGCGCTAATCATGATGTGAGATTAAACGAGAAGCCCTGTCAGACACCTAATCGCTCCGTTTGTAGGGTATTTTGAATGACACATTAACACTCTAGTGAACACTATTTGATGGTACATGAAAAAAAGATATTCCGCATAATTTCTTGGTTCATTTTGGGACATTTTAATGATAAACCTGTTTTTTGTTTTTTTTTTGGACCTTCCCACCTCAAAATATTTTGTTGCACAACGTTGTGCAACAATGGCAGAGAATCATATAGAAAATGATGAATTCATAGATCATAAGACTATGCTCAGACAGCAATATAAAATCATAAATCTTTTTTAAAAATGGCAAGAAATCATTAGGCAAAAAGGAAACAACACTTGAAACACATTGATCAATTGGATTTGATACAGGTATGGGTTTGTATCATGTAGCCTAGTGTGTCGTGTCATATAATGTTATTTATGTAATGACATTTCACTCCCTGTGAAACTTACTGTGTGAGGTAGCCTACTGTCCAAGCGGACATCCTGGTTAAGAATAGCGTTGGGTATCATTTTACTTTTATCGATTCCAAATCTGATTCTGATTCTACTTATTGATTTCGGTTCTTATTGAATCTTGGTTCTGGTTCCAACTCTTTCACCACAGATCTTCTCAGTGTTCTGTGACCTATATTCACTTTCCCTTGCTCCTCTTCCCCTTCATGGCTAAAGTGAAAGGAGTCTACTGTGTAGGCTACTAGAGGGGGGTCTCTGGGGATTCGTCTCTAAGAAAAATATATTGGAGTCATCTGTAGACATCATTCGTTTACCTTCAGTAGGCTATAAATGGTGAATAGGCCTATCAGCTCACCTGTTTTGTACCTGTGTGTGAGACGTTGCTTTGTTGACATACTACATAATAGATGACGAGAAATTAGGTCCACTTAGAAGGTCCTGGCACTTTTTTAAAGAGAGTGAATTTCGCAACATGTATGTGTATGTGACAATAAAGTAGGTTCTTCTTCTTCATGCTCCCTTTTTATACATTTTTATTGACAGATACCAGTAAGTTTCCAATGCCAATGAAAATACAAGAATAACTATTTGATCCATATTTTGTGTATTGCCTGCTGTGTATAGAATTTGAATGACAACCAGAGCACCTAACAAACGAATCCTGCTCTTTAGTTAAAAAGAACAATCATTTTTCTGTGGAAATGTGTTAAAATAAGTACAATGTGATAGATAAATAAATAAATACAAGTATATAGCTATATTGTGAACTACTGCATGTGATAATATGTGATAACATCCAAACACATGGTCAGTAAAAACCTCCTTGAAAGGTAACCCTTATCGCACAATGTTGCCCTGAGGCAACAAAAAGAAAAACTGAATTTCTGAACATGCAAAATAAAAAAGAATGTCATAAACCTGACAAAAGGCTTCTCTACACCTTCACGCACACAAATTGTTTTTTTAATTAAAGTTCATGTCATTTTAAATAAGATTTCTAAACCAAATAATCTTGCCTTCTTCTCACACACCTGCTCCTGTGACCAAAAGGAAGTTCTGCCTTCAAATGATGCTTCATAGTGACTCCCACACCTTACTGGACTGTTCTTTGATAGTTTTTTGACCATTCTAATTGGTTGAAATCATTTAATGTACTGGATATGGGGCTTAAGAAAACTTTCTGTTGCCTGAGGGCAACGCTGTGCTGTAGAGGGTTAAATGCCTTTTTCAAGAGGTGGAAAAGAGGAAAAAAGCTACACATAGATCAGTTTTGTTTTACTACCTTTAACATTTGATGAGAATCAAATGTCCCCGGTTGCCCTGGAGTTTGCATGTTCTCTCCGGCTTCCTCCCATCCAAAGACATGCAGGCTAGGTTAATTGGTGTCTGTAAATTGCTCTTAGGTGTGAATATGAATGTGTGGCCCTGCAATGGACTGGCGACCTGTCCAGGGTGTACCCTGCCTTTCGCCCAATGTCAGCTGGGATTGGCTCCACCCTGTACACAGGATAAGCGGTTGATGATGGATGGAGGCTAAATAAAACTAACCATATCAAATTACTAAATTAAACATGAAAATAACATGTTTTTGGATATAGATGACCGTAGTGGAAGAATTAAGTTGTGGAATTAGTTAATCTTTAGTCAAGACAATGAAGACCATCCCTTTAATGATTTTGAGGCAAACCTTGAATTTCCTCCAAAATGATGACTGATGTTTAAATATAATGCTTTTACGTGTTTGCTCCACAAGATGTCTCCAGTGCAATGACTGCCCAAGCTTTTTCACATTGGCATATTCATTATCTCCTATACAGTATATATTATGTTCCCTTTATTACAGCCCCCACAAGCTCCATCCTCCACCTCCACATACCCACCAGCCCACTCACCCACAAAGAAGATCAGATATTATAATTGCAGTGTTATGTGGTCATTCAGCACAAATTGGCCTTAGGGGGCAGTACCCTGTATCACAATAATGAACATGAGCGTTGGTTAGTGGAAGTCAGGGTAAATGGGCACTAGAACGAACTGATCCGCTATTCTCCAGTCTGTGAGATTATTCATGCAGGAGCTGCCGCTTTGATGCTGGAGCCGAACATCTTGCACAGTGAGAGACTTCATTTTAATTTCTTGCTCTAAAAAATTAGCTTGTGTGTCTATAAATGCATGCACATGAAAACACATGTGGCATAGCCTCCTGACTGAGGAACCAGTAATCCTTTAAAATGCAAATCACTACATATCTCACTCTGTTTTTACCCATTACACTTACACAACAGCTCTCTCTCACACACACACACACACACACACACACACACACACACATACAGTAAAAAGTTAGCATGTCCTTTTCTCTAAAATGTCACCTTACATACCCTTCCCTCAATCTCTCTCTTTCTCTAAACCCCATCTCTTCTGCCTCTGCCCTGTGACACATCAGTATGACGCTCCTCTGTTGATTCTATCCCTCTTGCATGCATGCTCAGTTTGGTGCACCATGCCAGAGTGAGTCACATCATTAAAAATGCTGCAGCCTGAAGCCGACCTTGCCCACAGCTTGCGGGCCAAATAGCCCTAATAGTGAATCCACCCTGCAAGTCACAGTAAGTAACAGTGGGTTTGGCTCAGTCCCTTTCTGCCACCTCTTAACCCCCTACTCCACCTCCTCTAGTGCTTATCTGTCTGGCTGTCTTCATCCTTTCTGATAGAATGATGGGCACTGTCAAGCAAGCCCTGGATCTTACACTGCGGTTGCAATGACGTCAGACAGAGGCAGCGAGAGGCGGAGGGAGATGCCAGGGGAGAAACGAGGAGACAGACAGAGATCAAGAAACAGGGAAGGGGGTGGGAGGATACGTGGGAGAGCGAGGGAAGAGAAACAAAGCTGCAAAAAGGAAAGTGTGAGTGAATAAAATATAGGAGAATGAGCAAGGGATTCAACTTAGAAGATGTGTGTGTTTGTGTGTGTGTGTGTGGCTGAAGCACTAGGAAAGGGATGATTAAGGTAAAGGGCAAGGTGAGGGAAAAAGAGAAAGCAGTATTAACCAGAATGGAAAAGTAGAAGCGGGAGAGAAGGTGTGGGCTGAAAGAAGCATTTTCCTGGTATGTTGTCCATATGAAGCAACAGAAAGCTTAGGCTCACAGCCTCCGTGTATATGTGGGTGGGTTTTTAGTCAGCCCAAAAGCTTGCATGCACACCCATACAAGCACACATACATGAAAGCAACTGTTATTGACATGTTCATTGGATCCGATGAAAGAGGTTATTGATCCAGATGCAGGTTACCATCAGATAGATGAGAGAAGAAAAGAAAGAGAGCGAACCACTTGTTCACACTGAGTCAGTTTGCTGCAGTCTTGCAGTTTTTCTTCAGGACAGAAGATAGCGCTGTTGCATTACATCAGACAGTGTACAATTTAACAAGTATGCACTGTATGTGGGCCATATTTGAGTAGATTATGTTCTAAATGTATGTGTGTGCCCACACGTGCGCATGCGTACAAGCATGCATTGATGTGTATGAAGATGGGTTTGTGTGCCCTAGCACACACTCCTGGCTGCTCCTAGCTGCTCATGCGTATTCCTTTATGTGTGTACAGATGCAAACATATTTGCCTTTATTTTCCATATGTACAGTATGTACTATGTTTTTCCAGCATGAATAAGGAAATCACAGTGGAGGGTGAGTCTCTCTCATGTCAACATTTTAATTTTGTCACATGGACGTAGCCACAACTTGAACCAACTTGAAGCCATTGATGCCGGTCTGCACTGTCATATCAGAAATGCTTAGGGCACATGTTTATGTAACCTGCATGATGTGGACTCGGCCTTTGGGATATTTTACATAATGTATGCATATACGGCCAGGATAAACTGAGCCAGGCTGGGTCTCTTGGGCTGGATCATGGGGCTTTAACGCAGCTGTTCCCCCAGTCTCAGAGGACCTCTCCTGTGATGAGGGGGATTGAAGGTAAAGGGCAGGGGCTCTGAGGCTGCAGCAAATGATTTCTCTTGGGTGTTGTGATGGGAGTGGCTGCTCTTTGTATTTAAATCTCTCCTTTTTTTCTTTCTAAATTTTATGTGTGGTCAAACATGTTTTCTACCTGTGTTACAAATTTCACAAAAAAAGATCTGCATGGGATAAAGAAAAGATATATTTAATTAATAAATTTAATAAAATTTAATAAAAAGTTTTCTTGTTTCTTATTTCTGGGTCATGGAAAGGGCAAGGAGGAAAGGAAGAGTGAAAGAGAGAGGAAAAAAGAATGACAGGAGTCTCCTGAGTATCATGCCAT